CTTGTGCTATAATACAATAGATTTCCTGTATGCCATAAAGAAGTATCTTCATGTTATAAAAGAAAATGTTTTCATGCCATGCATAGACCTCGATCTGCATTTTTGAAAAGTCCCTTTGGGCCAGATTCTATTATGTTTTCATAGGAAAACTCCTGTTGAGGCTGACTGAATTCCAGTGTAATTTGAAAGCAATTAAAGTCCATCAAAGGAATGGTAGTACAGTTATCCTGGAAATGAATCAGATCCAAAAAGTGTAAAACAAGCTAGTCTAGATCTTTGGAGCGGCTCTAAGAATTTTCTTAAGTTCTACTGACTCACTACAGTCACTGTTCTAGTGCAGGAAAAAGCTATATCACAGGCTCCACTCAAGTTTCAGACATGGAAAAATTTCTTCAAATTCAATAGCATCATTTCCAAATGGGCATTCTATATAACCTGAAGTGTAAAACCTCTAGTATGCTTTATTAAAACTTGATCTAAATCTGATATAGCACAAATTTCCAATTAAAAACCTCTGCATCTGTGTTGTTTTTGTTTCCTAAAAATGTTTGAAGGGTCAGTCACGTCTCACCACCTCACATCCTCAGTGAGTGCCAGGTAAGAGTTTCATACAAAAGTACCACAGGAAAACAGCTCCACACAAAGGAAGGAAACATAAAAAAAAAAAAAAAAGCTATTTCCTTGTACATATCCTTAGGGCTACATTACATCACTGGTGGATAATGCCTCATCCTCTTCATAATTCTTTACAACCCAAGATTATAAACTATATTTAATAGCCTGCTTTTCATCAATCAATATTTGCTATATTAGTATGTTTTAATAGAAACAAGTGGACAGCATTCTAAGGAAAATGAAGTTTTTCTAGGTGTCTATTTTATAACTATGCCATGCTGGAGTTGTTCGTGAAGACTTAAAAATCATTAATTGGCACATTCTAATTAATTGTCTTTAGTTAAAATATAGAAATAAAATTTCAGAGTAATTAACTCAATAAGTTAATGACTAATATTAGGTAATATCAACTTCATTTTCATATTAAGAAACATTCCCTTTTAAACTTTAAGCTATCAAAAAGCATGAGCCTACCCTTAATTATGATACAAAATTGTGAAAAATATGCTTACTCAAGAGAAAATTCCAAAAAAGGAGTGATAGCCTGACATTTTGAGTAGTGTACTATCTTAAATGACAAAAAACTACATCCAGGATAGCTGTGTGAGGATCTCCACAGACTTGCTCCCCAGTGAAAAAAACTGTGGAAATTAAAAAAATAAATAAGTGTCTGAAAACTGTCTTAAGGGTATACAGCAAATGAAGAAACATTTACTCAAAAAAATCTACTAAATCTCAGTAGGAAGAGTGAGAGTATTTCATCTGAGCCACAAATTCACTGCCTCCCTTCTTCTACCCCAGTTTAGTATGATTAAAATTCCACTCTTCGGGAAATATGATCAAGAAGATGGGGCTCCCTCTTCCCTCAGCTCCCAGTCAAGGGATACTAATAGGTTGCAGAGGCTAAATCTCTTGGGGCTGTGACCCAGAGGTCATGAGCCCTTTTCCTTTACCCAATCCCCACTAACAGAGCAGAAGTTCTATGTCTAATCCTGCAAAATGGCCCAAATACAAGTAAATCAGATGTGGAGCAATTTACGTCCCAAGGCATTGCCAAATACAATCGAGTAATTAACTAGCAACCAGTGAAACCTCACAGGTAGGTGTAATACCAATGGAAGCAAAGAGCTTAGCAGAAAAATCAAGGAAAAAGACAAAGAGAGTCCTTAACCTACCCTCATTCCAGAGTGACTTTGCAGAGCAGGCTAAGAATGTTGGGGCCTTGATCACCCTGACCCTGACTCACTCATATGGTGGAGGATCCATACTGGGAGAGGCAAACCATAAAGACCCGAGGCAGTAGATACTCAGAGCCCTATTTGCAGAGAGGAATGTCACTCCAAGAGAAGCAAGCCACTATTCCAACCACAGCTCCCAAGGTGTGGCTCAAAGATTTTGCCAAGGACAAGAGGCAGTCAATAAAAAAGAGCACCAAAGCTCTACCCAAATGAACTGACTTTATTAGTAATAGCATATGGAAAGTTTAAGCCTACAGGTTCTCTGGAAAACAATGAGGATCTTTGAGGCAGGTAATTAAGAAGAGGCTTATTAGCTAAATAAGGAAAACAAGTTAAACTGTAGGCCAGGTAGTTTATCAGAGATAACTAAGGAAAGCTACAACCAAGAAGAACCCCACCTAGGGTCAGAACAAACCTTAAAGACTGGCCTCAAAACTAATCCTGCAAAAGAGCCCAAGTATAACTGAATCAGTTGGGGAGTGATTTATGTCCCAAGGCATTGCCAAAAACAATAGAGTAACTAGCAACCAGTAAAACCTAACAGGTAGGTATAATACCAATGGAAGCAAAGAGCTAGGCAGAGAAATCAAGGAAAGAGACAAAGAGAGCCCTACTAATTTACTGTCATCCCAGAGTGACTGTGCACATGCCCAGGGCAGTGCTCTCTGAGAAACCGCATTATACAGTTCACACTACAAAAGTAACAGACTCAATTAAAATAGTACAGCCACTGGGCACGGCGGCTCACACCTGTAATCTCAGCCCTTTGTGAGGCTGAGGTGGGTGGATAACGAGGTCAGGAGTTCAAGACCAGCCCGACCAACATGGTGAAACCCCATCTCTACTAAAAATACAAAAAAAGTAACTGGGTGCGATGGCGTGCACCTGTAATCCCAGCTACTCGGGGGGTTGAGGCAGGAGAAATTGCTTGAACCCAGGTAGAGGAGGTTGCAGTGAGCCAAGATCGCGCCACTGCACTTCAGCCTGGGCAACAAAGTGATAAATTTTAAATAAATAAAATAAAATAAAATAGTACAGACAAGTCACTGAACAAATAATCAAAAACAACAAAAGCCCCAGAGAGGTGGTGTAAGATGGGGCAAAAATGAACAGAAGATCAGAGAAATACGAGACTCTATTAAGTGCATTAATACATGCACAATGCGAGTACCAGAAGAAAAGGAGAAAGAAGTGGAAATGAATATTCAAGGAAATAATGGCTCGAACATCCCAAATTTAATTTTTTTCTAAAAAAAATCACTCATCTACATACCCAAGAAGCTCAACAAATTCCAAGCAGAATAAACACAGACTCACACCCAGATACATCATAGTAGGAATTCTGGAGGGGGAAACATTTTTTTTTTTTTTGGAAAGCAGAAACAGAAAAAGGATTTGCCTTGTAGAAGGAAACCTCATTAAGCTTTCAATAGCTGGCATCTCAGCAAATGCTAGGAAAGCAAAACCAAAAACAGAAACTTTTCACCAGGAGTTTTATATTTAGCAAAACTATCTCAAATAAGGTAAAATAAAGATAGTCCACATAAACAAAGACTAAAGATTTGTCCATATCAGATTTGCCTTATATAAAAATATACAAAAAAAGGACTTCTGCCTGGAACGAAGTGACCCCAGATATAATTTGAATCCATCCCCAAAAAACAAAGGGCACTGATAAATGTAATTATGTAATTATAAAAGACAGCATAAATGCATATTTCTTCCTTCTCTTATTCAAAGAGCAACTGTATAAAATATCATGTAACAGCACTTTAGAGCCAGAACATATACAAATGTGACGTATTTGACAATGACAACACAAGCAGGTAAATAAGAACAAAGAAGTAGTGGAGTAAGAAATGACACCAGATGGTAACTCAAATTTACAAGACAAAATGAATAAAACCAGAAATGGTAAATTAAAAGCTTACTAGAAGAAACTCTATAAATATAATTTGTTCTCCTTTCTTTGCTTCTTTAATATACATACAAGTATATAAAATAAAAATTTTACAAGTATTGTTGGGCTTACAGCATGTAAGATGTAATATGTATAACAATAATAGCACAAAAAGGGAGAAGAGAGTTCACAGCTATTTAGTAGCAACTAAATAACTCACTGTAATATATTATAAATCCGAAATAGATTCTGATAAATTAACAAGTATATTATGTGCCCTTTAGCAACCACTGAGAAAATAAACTCAAAAAAGTGAAAAAATCATTAAAGAAATTGAAATATTATGCTAGAAAATATTCACTTAACTAAAAAAAAAGCAATAGAGGAGGAATAGACAAACAACAACAAAAAGACACAAGACATGTAGGAAAAAAAGTAAAATGGCAGACACAAATCCAACTATATCAACAATAACATTAAATGCAGATGGGTTAAATAATCCAATTAAAAGGCAGAGACTGTCAGACTGGATTTCAAAAACACAAAAATAAGATCCACCTGTCTACAGGAGACACATTTTAGATTCAAAAATATAAATCAGTTGAAAGTGAAAAGATGAAAAAGGATACATCATACAAACAGCAACTATAAGAAAGCTGGAGTAGCTATATTAATATCTGACAAAGTATATATTAAAATTTAAAAATGTTACTAGAGATAAAGAAGGACAAGTGTCCCAAAATGAATGTAGAAAAAAACTGACAGAATTGAAGGAAGAGATCATTCAACAACAGTCAGAGAATCCAATACGCTACTTTCATAATAGACAGAAATAGGCAGATGAACAAGGAAATAGAAGACTTGAACAACACAACAGGCCAATACTATAGACCTAACAGCCATCTACAGAACACATCATCCAACAACAGTACAATAGATACTCTTAAGTACGCATGGAATATTCTGCAGGATAAACCATATGCTAAGCCAGAAAGCAAACCTCAATAAATTTAAGACTGAGATCATATAAAGTATGTTTTCTGACAACAGAAAAAAAATATAAACCAATAACAAATTTGGGAATTCATAAATATGTGGAAATTAAACAATGCACTCCCAAGTAACCACTGCATCAAAAAGAAATTAAAAGGCAAAGTATTTTCTAAGACCTTGAGATGAATGAAAACAAAACATAGCATACCAAAACTTATTGGATGCAGCTAAAGCAATGCTCAGAGGAAAATTTATAACTGTTAATGCCTTTATTCAAAAAAGAATTCAAATCAATAACCTAACCTTCCACCTTAAGATGCTGGAAAAGACACAAACTAAATATAAAGCAAGCAGAAGTTAGAAAATAATAAGATTAGAGCAGAGATTGATGACATAGAGAATAGAAACACAATAGAGAAAACCCCAAAATCCACTTTGGTTCCTCAAAAAGGTCAATAAAATTGACAAGCCTTTAGCTAAACTGACCAACAAAAAAAGAGTAAACTCAAATTATCTTAATTGCAAACTTTCTGACAACAGTATTACTTTACACACCATCAGGTACATTAGTTACCATGAATCAGAGGCACTTACATGTGTATAGGCTACATGAAAAATCATTTCAGTTTGTTGCCTTATTAAATTGTTTCATAAACAAAACACACCCTAAATTAAATTTCAAGATCTATGGCATTTGTCATTAATTCTCCCCTACTTTTTCTTTGGGAGATTCCTTCCCCAGTTACAGGGTCCATCACATAGGTTTTACTTTTCTTTCCTATCACACCATTAAAACAGATTTGAGATTAGTTGTTGTACTTTTGTTTACTGACAAACTACCTTTCAAATTCATTCCTACAAAAGCATATTATAAACAGTATTCATATTCTGAATCTGAGGTAACTGTGGAATTAAAGGATTTTCCACATAAACAATATTAAGCCTCCAAACAATCTCACCAATGGAAACCATGATCTGAACCAAGTAGTTCATTTCAGTCTTTTACTCAGAAAACATACAGTAAATAAATTCAAATTGCTTCAATACACAGACATAAACACACACACACACACACACACACCTGTGAAAGGTGAAATCCGAACAACTAGACGTTATCCTGAAATTCATTTAATTACTATGTTATTATATTTGTTTATTTTGTGTATTTCAGGGACAGATGAAAGGAGACTGCAAGCAGCATCAGAAGGCTAGTCCAAGAACAATCCCTGACTGTTCAGCACCAACCAGATCAGGAGTGGAGAGGCTGATACCTGTACAGTGTTTTGTTTCAGAAATGCCCTATGAATGGCCTCTCATTCATGGAAGTCTTCAGATCTAGTCTTTTGATGTTAATTACAAATAAGGCTACACCGGTGCAGCCAATGTTTGGCATGTGAGTGGTAACAGTGCCAGATGTAAAAATTTTTGTCACAGTTTTCTAACCATGCTTTGCCATTTCCTCATTGTCGGACACTAGGAACTGTTATACACAAGGGAAGTCCAGGACCTCGCTCTGCTTTCAGGGGCATTGCCTGGTGCTGCCCCCATGTGATCCAGGGCTACCAACAGATCTCAACCCTTACCAAGCCCCGACTTTTCCTCACACTGCCATAGCCTTAGTCCTTTCTCTTGCTGCCCAAGACTAGACGATGAACCTTCTTTGTTTCCATTTCAGGGATATCTGGTGTGATTTTCATTTGTAATTAATGCTTCCATTATTACCATCTCTATTCAACACATCTAAAAACTCTGAACATATACTTATCCCACCTGTCTTCTATTTCTATAACTTAGATATTCTTCATCACAAAATCCCTCCAAACTAGGACTATGTTTTTGAAGTCATTCATTTTACAATTATAACAACAATAACATTTATTGTTTGCTTTGTGCCAGGCACTCTACTACTTTACATAAATTATCTCATTCTGTCACATCTAACTGCAACTAAGTATATGCTTACATTTGCTACCTAAAATAAGGATATTGTTGGTCATCTTTAAAGAAATGTCTTAACATACTAAAGAAGTGGAATCAATAGAATAAAATATTTTTAAGTCTTACAAAGTATACAACACTAAAGTAATATAGGATACCATTAAATTTATATTTCTATTTATGGAAAGTAAAGCTATTCCTGGTACATGGTGGTGACCTTCTTTTTATCCTATTTCTTATACCTTTCTCAAATTCCTATAAACCACAGCTTTGAATAGGTCAAATAAATATAATTTGATTCATACATTCAGTTAAATCCTTTAACTATGTAGTAATACATAAAGTATTATGTTGCTGCATTAACACCAAAAAAATGTTTCCCATGGCAATCCAGCCTAACATTAATTGTGGAATGGGTGCTGAAAAAATAAAATGAGACATAATTTTACTAATCATTCACTTTGCATTTTGAAGCTCTTTGCTGTTCTTAATCAAAACTCTTAATTTATTATCAAGAATTACACTAGTTTTAAAATGAGTTAATTTTCTGTTGGAGACAGGAAATGAAGAACTACTAACACTGGGAATGTATTTTTCCTTTCTCAATATTAACACATGATATATATTCAGATTAATAACAACTCTGGAAACTAGTTTCATTCCCTCTACACATAAGCAATAAACACTACGTGCAAATATGAATCCTAGCAGCAGTAACGTTGATGTATAATATAGGGTTTCTTTGGAATATACAGCCATTTCTAATATTTCATTTCAGCAAGTGTACAGGCAACCATCACAGACATCCATCAAAGCTGGATTAGATGAAGACAACGCAGGCTTTGAGGATAAACTGAAGGTGCAGCTCAAAAGTTTCCTTTTCTCATCCAAGGGCTCTATAGGACCATTGTCTTCCTCCTTTAGGCAAAAAAAAGAATCAATTATGTTACTGATATTCTTCCACAGCAGACTGAAAGTCTTTTTACAGTACAAGACAGTAAAAACTAAAAATTTCATACGAAAACGTAGAAATTTCAAACATATCTTCGTGCTCATTTGTTATCTCTGCAATTTTTCCACAAAATTTTCCACAAAATTTATTTCTATGGCAGGCCTATTAATGCAGAGTTTCACAGAAACAAATACTTTCATCCAAAATAAATAATGCTTGAACTATTTTACAAACAAAAAATTTGTATATCATGTCAAATAATAAATAAAAATAAAGTTTTAAATTCTTGTCATTCATTTTGCATATAATGATCACAGATGGATGGTAACTCAAGAGCACACAGACCCCTTCATTCCTAATTCCCAAGTGACTTACAATTCTATTAAATAAATAAGAAATGCAGAATATATATATATGACAATAGTACTTGTTTGAGATAACGAATAACGTGCTTCTCATATAGGAAAACAACATCAGCTAACACTTTAGTTCAATGATACTGAACTTTTCGATGTTGAACTAGCATTGCCAGCAAAGGCAGTGGGAAACTTGCAGTCTTATTAGTTGCCTAAGGTAGGTAATAAATCTCTATTAAAATTTAGAATGCATATACTTTTGGACTTGGAATTCTAGGAACTTATAATAGACATATAATTATCCAGTCAGGATACAAACAGTCTATATGTAAGGACACTCACTGCAAAAAGAAACTGGAAACAATCTAAATGATCTCCTTCTGGGCAATGTCCTTTGGAAAAAAAGAACAAAATAATACAACAAAATAAATAGCCTCCTTTCCTTAATAAATCATATTACTATGCAGTATTTCAGGATTATGCATATATAGTACATATGTATCTGTGGACACACCTGCACACACACAACATATACACACACACACACACACACACATTTCTACATATGCATACATATACAAACAGATACATATAAATATATAGAATGTCTGGAACAATTTATTAGAAAATATTTATAATGATGGGTTATGTATTTCCAAACCATCTATTTTTTTTCTGTTCCCACTCTACCAGGACCAAACTACATTTCAAATATGATAGTCATAATAAAATCTTTTTAAATTTCTTAATCTTTTTAAATTGACAGATAAAATTGTAGATATTTATCACGTCAACAAAATGTTTTAAACTATATACACATTGTGAAATGGCTAAATCAAGCTAATTAGCGTGTATATTACCACACATAGTTAAAAATCTACTCTTCTAGCACTTTTCAAGAAAGTGACATGAAACTGATTATCAAACCGTAAAATCACAGCAAATCACAGTCAATGGGGCCTAAAGGTCACAATGTATGAATTTTCTGCAAAAGGAAATAACCTGGGGCACAGTGTTTCCCAAACTGTGTTCCATAAAAAACTACAATGAATCCATGTTTAAAAATATTGTATCAAATCCATGTTAAAAAATATTGTATCAACTCTGTTAAAATATGGTTCTTTAATTCAAAGCCATCTCAGAGGCTCTAATATGCTGATATGAATTGCAAATCTCCAAAAGGAGGATATCAGTACATCCAGGTTCTCCAGATATACATGAACAGTCACCTCTTGATTTAACACACATTTTGGAGGACCAGTGCACTGCAGAACTCATTTGGGAGAGGCTGGTCTAGAAGCATGTATCCTAAGTTTATGAAATTTCATTATAAAGAATATATGCAGCCTTCTAAATATTAAGCTACCATGGCCCAAAACACGAATAAAAGATGGGTAGGTAAATACACAGTCATTCTAATCATACGAGGTCAGGTCTCAAGCCAAAGCAGAATTTAACATTTCGTATACATCCACAGTGCAACAGATGCACATACATGTTAGTGTCCTATTCATTTTTGAAGCTCTCAGGGCATGATTCAGGGGGTTCTTGGTAGATGCTGAATGAATTCTAATTTACCTACGTGTAGAATCTACTGGTGAATTTGCACACTCACTCAGCTGAAATCTCCCTCACAGGGGAAACTCAATACCCTATGCTATTGAGCTTTTCTTACTTATATATTTTTCAAAGAAATGACACCTCCCTATGCCAAGGCTCTCTGAAGATGGTCTTTATATTAGCTTTACCTTCCTCAAAAATGTACACTTGATCTTGTTTACTGCAAATACCAGATTAACTGAAAAAATGTTTCAATCAATCACAATCTGGGGTATGGATGTGGAATGAAGGAGAACCAAATCCAAATCCCAGCTCTTCTATCTAATTGCTGTAAGATTTTAAGCAATTTACGTGCCCCTCCTGAGACTCACGATAATATCTACTTCTTAGGGAATGTGTGAGACTGTAATGACAGCAGATATCATGTGCTGAGCATAGTACCATGAGTAATAATTTTGGTTGATTTTAAAACCATCTCACTAGCTAAAAATTAAACTACAATACTGTACCCCAACATAAACGTGAAGTATGGCCCATCATTTTTATGCCATGTGTTGGAGATTTACTTTTCAGTGTTTTAGAGAAAGTTTTCACAGGATAAAGTAATGCTTGGTCTCATCTGTTCTGTATTCCCAACCTCCAGCCGAACACCTGACCCAAACCACTCAGAAAATGTGTGCGTACATGCATAAAAAGTGCAACAAAATAACAGTAGGAATTGCTATTTTTATTTGTATCAAAATTATGCATGCATATAAACACTTAAAGTTTTTAAGTGTTTGTTATGAAGCTATCAGTCACTTCTCCTATGTGTCAACCAATTTCCTTCTCCTTAACTCTTTCAGCTGATTAACACTAGAGAGCTAAATGGCAAGATTGTATTGCTACCTTTCAATTTTCTGTTTCAGTATTATACATAAATTTTTCCTATGGAGAATGAAGATTTGACCCTCTTTCCTCCTGTCAACATCATGCACACACACACACCTCCCACCCCATTTCTTTCCCATCTTCCCATCACCCCATCCTCCAAATATGGCTATATAGACAAACTTCTATTGTTGTAATGATGTTAAAGTATTCAGAGGTGAACTACATGTGTTAATTTTTCTTTTCTGCACAACATTTTGTTTTCTCTGGAGTGATAAGTACCTTGGGTTTTTCCACCTATGTATTCTATGTACTCATAACTAATTCAATGCACAAATACCCACCCATTACCTAACTCTCCTCTCAAGAAGTGAAGATATATCATGCATTGTATCAACTTCACCATTCCTGAAGAACTCATCTAGAACCTTCTCACCTGCTCACATCTGGACTGACTTGCCTGGTTTGCCTATGATCTCTGCTATTCTGGGCATTTATTCATCCCCTTGGTTTTTCTCCTTTGCTGGCTCTCCTGTTTCCTGGATCCCACATCTTTTTTCCTTGGCTTACTCCATTTTGGTGTGGCATTATCAAGTAGTTTCCGGGAAATAAATATGTGATGGCTTTGATATCTAAAAATGACTACTGTAACCACACACTGGGTTAAAACTTTGACTAGGTAAGGAATTTGGTGGACTGTAATTTTCTCTCAGAATTCTGAAGGTCATGCTCATTGCCTTAGCTTCCAGCGTTGCTTTTGAGAAGTCTGGTATTCAAATTCCAGATTCCTTGATTTTGACATGTCTGTTGCTTTGGTTTCTGCCATTCTGGAGTTTCTCCCTCCATGTTCTGAACTTTCACAATGATGGTGTCTTGGTGTGAGTGTGTTTTGATCTACTGTGCTGGGAATTCAGTGGATTCTTTCAATTTGTAACTTTATGCTCACGAGTTCTGGGGAAATGCTTTGGATAATTTTGTTGCCTGATCCCTCTCCTTCACTTTCTCTGTTCTCTCTCTAGCTTATTATGTGGATGATGGACCTCTTAGACTGATCCTCTAATTTGCTTACATTACTGTAATTTTCATCTTTTTGCCTTTTGCTCTAATTTCTGAGAATTTTCAATTCTGCCTTCTGATTCTTCTGTAGAAGTTCTCATTTCTGTTTTCGTGTTTTCAGTTTCAGTTTCCAAAAGCTCTATTTTCTAAATATTCCTTTTCTTAATGGTACCCGGTTTTTTTTTTCTGTGGATGCAATTTCTTTCCTTACCTCTCCAAATAGACGAGTGACAATTTCTTGACAGCTTTTCTCTTCTTACAAAGTATTTATGTCTTTTAACTCACTTTATTGTCTGATTTGGGTTCTTTCATTTATAGTTCTTCTTCAAATATCTATAACTGTTCATATCTGGGACTGGCAAACAACCACTACAACAAAACCAGAGTGGAGGCTGAGGGCACAGTGGAGGCCTCTTTATTACACAATCACTACCGACTGAGCCTGTTGGTCCACTTCTGCAGAGAAGTCACCTGGGCTGGTCAGACCCTCCCCAGAAGATACTTCCAGCTTCATCTGGAGAGTAGGGGCCTTTCTGCCAGTGTATGGGAGGATGACATGAGGTCTGAGGATGTTATTTACTCACTCAATTGTGTCTGTGTCCCCTAGTATAGAGTCTCTCTCTTCATCATCTCCAGAAGACAAGCATCTCTGGTCTGCCAAGGCTTTGGAGGGGACTGAGAGATGAAAGTGCTTCTTAAATAGCTTTCAACCGATACAGATGACTTTAGTCTCCTTTTACTCCAGCTTCCAGATGATATCTGTTGCCACCAATTCCTGGGAATTTGAGAGATTCTATCGTGCTAACGGGTTTGTTCCTCACATCTGCTAAATCTGTTACAAGACCATCTGCTTCCAGCTTCCAAAGTATTGTGGCTGTTGTCTCCTCTCTTGTTTTCTGTATCCTTGTGAGTCAATGCACTTTTAAAAAAAATATCTTTCCTGTTATTTTAATGCAGTCTGTGGTGGAAACAAAATTAATTGCCTATCTTCAATTGATGGTCGTTATTTGAAACAGAAGTTCATTTTTATGCCTTTGTGTACTTTCTAAAGTTCCTACAATAACTACATTACTTAGTAATCAGAATACAAATTTATTTGATAAAACAACCTAAAGAAGTAATACTTTGTATATATAAAGGTAAAGGTGGCCTTCTCCCTTTGAGATTTTCTCCAAATATTCATTTATCTTCGTCTAAATAACAAGGAAGCTTACTCATAAAGAGAAATTTTCTATTATACTATGATCATTGTTCATAATGATGACCTCAAAGTATGGCTACATCCTAAAGAGTCTTCTAAGCCATCAACTATTTCAATAAAATTATAGCAGATGCCATCTTTCACATGACTTTTTCTTAATCTTGAATTATCTTTTATGAAGAGGCCCAAGGGAATGAGTGCAAAGCAAATCACTACTGGAGAATTTCCTGAAACGCTACCAAAAATAAAAAAAAATCACATGTACACACACATCATACTCCTCAGAGACTGCTGCAGGTCACAGTACTAATGTAAGTTCCAGTAATTTTGGCTCAGCTCATTGATAACTAACTAAAGTATCCCTCTTTAAGTACAGTTTTCAGTGTAAAATCTCCGAAATAGAGTCGTTTAAGAAATAGCAATATGCTAGAAATAAGAACTTTCCTCTTCAGAAGGGGCTCTTTCTCCTGTACACTAGTGGAACACTTCGTCAGGCAGTTCGCACACGCTGCTCTGACCTGGAGTTAGCTGTGTGTCTGATTTACCCCTGACACTAGGCTGTGAGCTATTTCAGGGGAAAGCTGATCTCTGGTTATTTTCACTCAGCCCCTAGAATACTGCCACACACCAAACAGAAGGTTAAAAATAAATGCCCTTCCATTACAAGCAAGGGCATATAGACACCTTCTTTTTCAACATTCTCAC